GTGCCCTCGGGGAGGCCCCTGATGAGAAGGTCCCTCCTGCCGAGGGCTCTGAACAAATTGGGACATGTGCCCTGCTTGTATTAACCTCTCGATGGCTGTCTTTAGCTGATGGCAGTCATCGGTCCTGTGCCCCTGGTGCCGATGGAAGCGACAGTAGGGGAACTGAGGGTTGATAGCGTGTACCTCCGGGGGTGCGCGAGAGTCGCGCTCAACGAGGCCCCTCTCCTCGGCAAAATCGAGGATGATGCTGACAGGGTGCGTCAATGGTGTCCGAGGGCGGTCCAGGAGAATGGGCTGTGCCTAAGTCTTAGGGTTGCTCTTATAACCTCCCCCGGACTTGGCTTGGCCTTGCCGAGGGCGGTCATCAGAGGGTTCCGAAGTCTTGGGGTGATTTGGAGGGGCCCCCGGCCCTCGGTTATGCTTGTTGTCAGCCCTCGGGGGCTGCTGGTCCGGATGCTGATGATACTTCTCCACCTCCTCGGCCTCGGCATATCGGTCCCCCCGCTGCAAAGCCCTTATGTAGTCGCGGGGGGGGGGGGGGGGGGGGGGTTCAATGATGAGGCTCCTTGAAAAGTTGCTGGTGCGGAGGACGGTTTGTAGGAGGGCCAGGAGGGTCCCGTCATCAGCACCGTCGACCTTGTCGGCCTCCGTCCTCCAGTGCTCCAGGAAGTCCCGAAGGGTCTCATCCCTCTTTTGGCGTATAGTTAGGAGGTGGGAGAAGTGCTTCCTCGTGCGACGCCTCCCGGCAAATTGTGTCAAGAATCGCTGGGCGAGTTCTTGCCACGAATCAATGCAGCCCTCGGGCAGCCTGTTGAACCATTCGTATGCCGGCCCCTCTAAGGTGGAGAGGAACCAACGACACAAATATTCGTATGACGCTCCTACCATCATCATGTTGTTCTGGTATTTGCTGTAATGTTCCTGGGGGTCCGTCTTCCCGTTGTAGGGCTGTATGTGTTGCCCTCGGTATTTCTCCGGGATCCGGGCCGCCAATACCCTTGGGGTAAATGGCGTCCGAGTCCGGAGCTGGATGACGGGTTCCCCGGAGCCCTCGGCCACCTTTTTCTGTAATTCCTCCATTTTGGCCATCATGGCCTCATATTTGAGGTCTGAGTGAGGGGCGGAGGTGGTGGCGTGAGCTTTGTTGGACTCCATTTCGTCAAGCCGGCGTTGGAGGGCCGCTATAATCTTGTCCCGGGGGTCCTTCGGGAGGGTCTCCGCCCCCTGCGAACGAACCCGGGCCGAGTGGGCCTGGTTGATCTGGTGGCGAGCGTCATCGGCATGAAGGGGTGCCTTGCCTTTGTCCCGAGGGGGACGCTCCTCATCTGCCCTCGAGACAGACCCTCCACTTTCCTGAGGCCTTTGGAGTGCCTTTCCTCCGAGGCGGTCTTGGACCCCTCGGCGATCTGGCCCTCCTCCGAGCCGATTGAGGGCGGAAGTGCGGGGCCTCTCCCTGTCGTCATTGTGGCGGTCCCGAGACTGTACTTCCTGGGAGGACGTATCCTGGGCCACTACCCCTTCGTCGTTCCTTACCCGAGGGGTGGGATTTCCGAAGGGGTGTGGCGGAGGGGGAAGTATGATGTTTTCCCCAACCTGGGGGTGAGCCGGAGCCAGGGTGCCGAAGGCACCCGGGTTCTGAGTGAGCGTTTGGATGAAGGCGGAGAGCGTCGATTGCACGTCGATGGTGAGAACCGGAGGGCTGACTTGGTCATCGCTCCGGTTTTTCTTCTTGGCCTCGATGCCGAGGCGGGCATCGGGGGCATTTTGTTGGATCTGAAGGCGTAGGTCGACAGCCGCCTGTTCCAGCCCAACGATGACACCGCCCTCGGGAGCCCTGTGAGAGGCTTCAGGGGCGTTGACGTCGCCGAGGGCCAGGTTCTTGTCTTCTACGTTCTTTGAGTTGGCACGTGTTGTTCTCACCATTTTGGTAGAGAGCTAGTGTTTGGCGAAAGGGGGAGGGTTTCTTACTTGATTGTTCGACCTCTCAACGAGAGCACCAAATGATGGATAGTCTACCTGGGGGTATGTATCCGAAGGGTTATTGTGGGGAATCACTTAGAGAGAAGTCAGAGCGAGTAAGTAGATGTAGAGAGAGAGAGTGTATTTAGTATCAATGTCGTGTTTTCAGCGTGGTTACAAATGGGGAAATGGGGTGCTATTTATAGTAGCAATAAATGCCGGACAGGGACACGTGTCAAACGCTCATTGGCCGAGGGGTCACCTCAACTGGTTGGCGCTGGCAGCCGCATGTGGCCGCATTTAATGCGGCTGTTGGATGGGACGTCTGTACAGGGTACGGTGATCTGTACGCATGTGAGGCGGATATCTTGTCGAGTGAGATGCCTTCGGCTATAGAGCAGTACCTGAGGGCTCCTCCAACCGATGGCACCCTGGTGCCGAGGGCTCACAGTGCCGAGGGCTACTGTTTTCGCCGTTTTCTCCCAGTTTCTTAGTTTGCTTGAGAAACCCGTTCTGTGAGAGTTTAGAGCCTTCGGCCAGGGGGCCGAAGGCACCCCTGGCGCGTAGTGCGGGCTGCTTGGTACTCTGGGCGCTATGATTTGGGCCTGTTGGGCCTTCTGGGCCTGTTGGGCCTTCGCTGGAGTAGTAGGAGTCTGTGGGCCGGGGGTTCCCGGGCCATATACTCCATCAGGGACAATTTCAGAACGGAATAAGAACATTCCGGAACAGACCAACGAAACCAGGTCTCTTACTCACCCCTATTTTATTACATATAATACATGTGTTGGTCTGGCTAGAGCAACGAGTGTCTGGATATTTTTGGTTGAGCTGTATGAGATGAAAGACTCATATACGGTTCTCGATGGTGGGGGGATTACCCACCCTCAATAAAGCATACGATTGTTTCTGTAATTTCTCAAATTATTTCGAATTTCAAATTAGAATACAAAATAAAGCAGAATAACTTTAATAAATGTAACTTGGTTCTTTTTTCTCTTTTAATAATACCATATTTAAACCAAAAAGTTTCATTGAATTTCTCTAAATTCCATTAGTACTAGAATTTTCCTTATTTGCTGCTACTCAATTGTTCCGGTTCTTAGTTAAAACGCAACAAATAGGAAAAATTTAGAAGTTTTTGTTGTGGTTCTACGATGATGCAACAACAAGTTGAAAATTTTGATACTTTTTTTGTGGTCAGAACCGCAACAAATACTTAAAATATTTCGATTTTTTTTTTACTTTTTCGTTGCGGATCAGGGAGAACCGCAACAAATACTATAAATTTTGCTCCTATTTGTTGCGGTCACGCATATATATAGAACCACAACAAATAACCTTTTAAAATTTCACATCTTTCTTTTTCCCCTCTATGTCGTCCAAACACCTCAAACCCTCCCAAAACACTTCTCTACCCCTCCTAGCAGCTTCCGGCCCACCTTAATGCTGCTCCTTGATGCAGTCGCAGATCCTAGTCAACGCCACCACAGATCCTCGTTAACACGCCACAACTCCTTTTGATCGGTAGATTTTCGCCAACCATATGCTGCCGCCCCGATGTTTCTCTGCGTACCTAAGATTTCTTCCGTCCCTGAGTCCCTCCATGCCTCGATGTTGAAGACAATCACAGTCCATCTGCTTACGTGCCGCCGTCGATTTCATCCAATCCTCTTTGCTGAAAGTGAGTCTGCGTACCTAAGATTTCTTCCGTCCCTGAGTCCCTCCATGCCTCGATGCTGAAGACTATCACAATCCATCTGCTCACCGTGCCGCCGTCGATTTCATCCAATCCTCTTTGCTGAAAGTGAGTTATTAGTCTTTTTTCATAGATATTTAATGTGTATTTTATGTTTTACAAATTTTGACTATTATTTAACTCCAGGGGTCGAATGTGGGCCAGCCTAGGGCAAAACCGACCGGATTTAACAAGAAAAAATGAAGTGTACCTTGACAAAGTGCAAAAGTCGGGTAGCTTAGCAGAAATCCAGCTGACTTATGCATGAAATAAATGAGAAATAAAGTTCGGCAAGAAACACTGGCCGGTCCCAAGCCAGTCCCATACAGTACCGGGCCCGGGCCAATTCGGTCCGATCCGACTAGTCCGAGTCCGAGTCCTTCCCTAGAGGGAGGGGGTACTTCGTATAATAAAAGCAGATCCACCCTAAAAAAAGCGACCTGACATCTGATAACACGCGGGACATCAAGGACTTTACCGGTGATTGACGAAGAATGGACATGAGGCTATGGAATGCAGAAAGCTGCAAACATTATTACTCTAGTTCCCCGTATGTTGCAGAATTCTACACCTTTCTTGGAGTTGATCAAGTTTGCTACCAAATTCCCAGGATGTGTAAAGTTTCTCTCAATGTTTTATTATTTATAATATGTGGCATTAATCAAAAGAATCAAATTGAACATGAATTCATTTGAATCTTAAAAGTGAACAATAAGTCATATGAAGAATATGAGGTTTGATTTTTCAAATTTGCACATCACAGTTTCTCCTTTCACCTTTCATCGTTCCTAAAACAAAATAAGGAGTATTTTAGATATCGCCGTTCTAAATCAGATAAGGGTATATTAGAAATTATAAAAAATAATATAATTTCTTTCAGAAGACATGTGGCGGTGCATAGTAAAGAATAGGCCGTAGATAGAATAACCCATCTCCAAATCCCGAAAGCAAAAAATGGCCTAAATGTTATTCCAAAAAAAAACACTAGTCCAAATGCCAAATGAGGCATTCACATGCCCTAACCAACGACCGTACTGACAGTCCGTTCGTCTTCGCTACTGGAAGTCCAGAAGGCACAACTCAGTCGTCTCGTTCTCTTCGTCAGTGGGTCAAGCACTCACGGCTCACGCGGGTCAGCCATCGGTGCAAGGCGCCTCTATTTGCTAGACGCTAGGTCCGGCTCGACTGCTCTTCGCTTCTTCATATTTGAGGTCAGGGGCGGAGGGAGGGGTGGCCTGGCTGGGCCCTGGCCCAGGGCAATTTGTTTTGGAATTGGCACAGTACAAAAAATAAGAATGGCCCAGTATGAAAAACAGTCCGGCCCTGATCTAAAGCAAAGAAGCGGAGCAGCCGATCCACAGAGACGAAATTGGACGCATCAGTGCATCACGATTCACGCACTTGTCGCACGCCTTATCGCACTCGCAGCTCCACGCTCTCCCGCTCCGCCGCTCTCCCGCTCCGCTGCTCTCATCTCTGGAGGCTGGACACGCACGAACGCACCATCTGCTGGTCTCCGTCTGCTCCTGCTTGTCTCTAAACTGCTGTCTTCGTCTCTCAAGCCTTGAAGACTCCTGTCTCGACTCTCGACACAGCCAACTTGGTGTGTGCTCGTCTGCTTCTGCTCGTCTGCTAAGCCAAGGTAAGGGTTTCTGTTTTTTGTTTTTACAATTTTTAGTTTAGTTTAAGTATTTTATTTGTTAATTTAGTCTGTGTTAGTCACTTAGTGTGTCACAATTGATTTGTGTGCTTTGAATTGAGAAATAGAAAATTAGGAATGTGATTTGTGAATTTCTTAAAATATTAATATGAATTATATGAATAAAAATAAAATATTGATTAGTTTTTTAATTTTTTTTACTAATTTTAGTAGATATGGCTACTCAATCTACTTCCAAAAAGGAAAAAATCACATTGCGTTCTTTTTATAAGCCTACTACAAGCACACAAAATAGAGAAGAGCTAAATGCCTCAATTGAAACTCCTAATATCTCATCCGCTCAAGAGGAAGTATTTTTTGATGCACTTGTAATTAAGCAGGATTCGAGAAAATGCAAAAAGATAAGTGATTGACCGTTAGAGAAAAGAGATGAAATTAGATGATTGTTTGACCATTTCTATGGAAAAAGAATTTGCCAACAAAATCGACGTTGCTTCTATAATAGATGTGTTTGCTAAGGTAAAAAAACGTCATGTTCAGTTAATGTTTTTGTTTCAAACATTGTATGCAATGTTTAATAATATTATTACGAATTGTCATTTTCATTTACCCCAGTGGCGCAAAGGCTCCCACCTACGATGAGGAATATTATTACGAATTGTAATGGATTTTAATCATTATGTTCACACTATTTACGTTTTTTATTTTTTTTAATGTTTTTAGTCTATAGTTGGCCACCCCCTCACATCTGTCCTGGTTACGCCCCTGTTTGAGGTAGGTTTTTAAATTGTTTAAATTTGTTATACTTTATATTTTCAGCTTTAGAATACATAATTTATTTCACTAGTTCCAGAATTTAGGATTTCCACTTTAGCATATTAGTGTTCTCAACCCTCATTTTTGCTTTCATTGCCATCGATTACAACTATAATTTTCAATCCTTTTCTATTTGTAGCCCGGAAACTTAATAGTGAAAATGATGGGCAACTAGTCTTTGAACATTGAAACAAAAGACTATCACACCCTCATTCAACGCAATGCATATTCTCTATATTCTCGAAGAAGATGGACAACTAAAAGTATAGTGATTTTGACATTGTTAATTTATATTAGCATAAAAAATATTGAGTGTTGATTTTTTTCTTATAATTTTCAAATGATTCTTTTTAAAAATGACTTATGCTATCATTTTTTTAATATGATATAATGATTGAAAATGTATACATCATACTTATATTTTTGGGTGAACTGTAAGTATATTAAATATACACCCAAGAGAAGAGGGGGTACAAGAATGTACATGCAAGAAAGGAAACAAAAATGAAGGCTATCCAACAACATGGACAGCCTGCTCAAAGCACAAAACAAGCCCTAAAACCGCAACAGCCCACACCTAAAACAAGTGGAGGTGAGGCGCAAACAAAACAGCAAAAGGGCAGCAGCACAAGAACAAAAACAGTCCAAAACCGCCAAAAACACCAACCCGGTGTGTGGCAAAAAACCGAGGACTCAAAACATTACAGCCTCAAAAGGATAGATGCTATACAAAATCTTATAGACCATGTACTGAATTCTAGCAAACACAACATCTTCATTAGGAACCAAGCCATCAAAGGAAGTGGCATTCCGAGTCATCCATATCCAATAGATAGAGTAGCAAAAAGCAATCCTAGCCGCTTTAGCTTTTACTTTAGCATACTTATACTTTAGCATAATTATCATCCATATATAAGGGAATTTTTTTTTTGTTAGTTAACTTCCTAGTTAATGTCTAACAACTTATCGAAATGTATTAAACTCATTTTTGCTGCATTGATTTGGAAAACACCAACATATTGCTTCATCATCCATATGATAGTGTCCTGAAATAATATTATTCAATATGACATGTACATTAATGTCAGTCTATGGAAACCCATAGAGTATAGTTGTATATTCCTGTAGTATTTATTTTTATCTTTGACTTGTTTGTTGCAATACAAGTTATTATATACCTATTAAAATTTGGCCCTGATTGGATGCCAATGCTAGATCCGTCCCTGGTTCTGCTTCAGTCTCCCTTACGCGGGCTACGCCTAGGACGTTATCTGGGCGAAGAGTCATAGTGAGTCGCTGTTTCCACTTGGTTGTTTCATCTGTATGTTACATTGTTACCTCTTCAAACGTGTCTGTTTTGATTTTCCAAAAAGATTTTTTAGAGTTGATCATACTCATTCATTACTGGAATTTCGATATCATATATAAGAAGCATTTTCTGGAATTATGTATTCTTTTTTTTTTGCAGGGCGGTAATTGATACTGCAACTATTTCTGTATAGCTCTGGTTGAAGCGATCACACAAGAATTAAAAATGGTAGCCGTCTTTATTCTTTTTCTCCAGCGTAGATGCATTTATGAATGTATAAAAATTCTAAATATCGAATTTTGAAATTGTTGGATGATAGGTATTCATAAATTTGACGGTAAATTTAAGTAGAATTAAGATGGAAATTGATGAAAACTGAAAAGAGAAAGATACAATGGAGACACTTGAGTAGTCTCCCGCACTCCCAAGACCCAGTCCCAACTAAAATTCTGCATACCTTCCTCCTTTCCTTCCTCCCATTCTTATACTACTTCTATTCTAAAGGGTCGGCCCAAACCCATGACTTAAATGGCCCATAACCCCTTAATTTTAACTACCACAATTATTTAATAACAATCTATTAGTACTATCTTTATTCTCAAATAGTCATGGGCCCTATCATATCTCCCCCCTTAAACAACCACCTTGTCCTCAAGGTGGGTGATAGGAAACAGCCCTGATCTTCATCTTCATCTTTAGTCTTGCGCCTCTACCTTCCCAGTATCTCACTGATTTCTGAACCAGAAGTTTCTGTACTTCATCCTTCCACCTCATAAAAGTTTCTGCAGCCGAAGATAAGTCTAGTGCAGTTTTAGTCTCTTCAGTGGCTATCAAGCACTCAATAACGGCAAATGTTTCTTTGTTCTGTGCTTCTCCATCGGCAGCAGTTATCTGTTTTGATATTGCTGCAGCCAGTCCTTCCAGCAGATTCCACATGAGTGATTTGTCATTATAGATGATAAGTTCTCTCAATAGTCTCCTCACATCAGGACTTGGTTCTGCCAAGAGCCTTCCAATCACACATGGATATGCACTCTCCACCACTTTGACTTCAGGATCCCCTTCTTTTGCAGTTCCTTCTAGTAATCCTAAAGCTCGTATCACCACTGCATAGTCATGAGGAAGAGAGAAGTTGAACTCGTACATAACATCATATAACTGATTTATAGCCTGGACATCCTGGGATTGTCTACTTCCAGAGTTCCATCACCGAAGGATTGTACGACAGTTCTTCCAGGAATGAAACCGAGAGAGAGGAATTCATTTGCCGAACTCCTTGAAATTGTAGCCTTAAAATCTCCAGCTACCACCCTTTTCAAATAAACTTGAAACATGAGAGCTTTCAACTCATTATCTTCTGTCCATTTTAACTTCTGAAATAAGCTAACTTCCTAAGTGTCAACAATTCCTTCCCTGTTCCGAGGTGTTCACTCATGTTCACCTGAAAGGCATCCCATCGCCTCACATCATATAGGGTTTGCATGGACTCAGCAGCCCCTTTCCTCTGTCTCTGGGAATGCTCTTCTTTTAATAAGAGGTGTTCGCGCGTTAACTGGCAGCTTATGGGCGGCACATATCCAGCTCCATACTCAATAGGTGGATGTTTAGAACTTCCCAACTTAAAAAGTACAGTAAACACATTAGAAATTTCAGAATGAGCTGTGACTTTCCCTCCTACTAGCATTGTTCATGAGACATTCGGAGTACATGCTCCAAACACTTCACAGATGATCATCAGAGACTCAACAAGTTGAGGATCCTTGCCATCAAGAGAAAGTAACTGGACACAGTCTACTGGTGGTATGCTAACTAGCAGGATATTCAGCATTGATGCATAACAGCTCGACTGATTCTCTTCTCCAGAATACTCTGTAGAAACTGGTGGAGACCACAGCTTAGTAATGCAGTAGGATGTGTGTTCCTCTTCAACGACGTTCAGTCTTCCATCTGTTTTCCCAATAGCTAAGAGCTGTTGAATCCCGCCAAGATGATTCCAATACATAACACCACCACCAAAGTATTGATTATAATCCACACCAGGACAACCATGGACCTCTAATTCTTCTGTGATATGATAATGGTGCAGTATCTTTTTTGTGACAATAGTGTTAGCTACTTTCATTTGTTCAGAAATATGCAACGATCCCACACCAGTCAAGTATGAGCTTGACCGGTGGCTTATAAGCAATGTGTTCCATCCTCCTAATCGGCTGGTCTTTTGGGAGTGAGTTCTACATATGGTCTTATGGCAATGATACGGGCCTACTATGGGCTAGGTCCGTAACAATTAGTATCAGAGCCATCCCCATCTTCCTGGTCCCGACACTCAGAGTGGTGGCCTATGGAGTGGTGGCTTGGATCCTGGGGGTGCCAACCGTGACCAACGAGGATGTTGGCTCTTCGAAGCGTGGGGTATTGTAACGATCCCACACCGGTCAAGTACGGGCTTGACCGGTGGCTTATAAGCAAACAGAGGTAGTACTACTAATGTCCTTATTTCATTATTTGTGTAACCATAGTTGTCATGGTGCATGGCGCAACCCATGGCGCACAGGCCATTTTCCATGGCGATGGCGATGGCGCAAATATGGCGTCGCCACGTGACAAAAAACATAATATTCAAAATAGATACTGCAATTCATCAACCCAAGTTTACCCAACCACCAAAACATGATAAAATAGTTCAAAGTACTTCCAAAAAACATAATATTCAAAAAAAAGTTTCTGTCTTGCAAAAATAGTAGTCAGGGTTTATGTTAGTTGTGTTTATTTATTTGTAGTTAGGGTTGTTGTTAGTATTATGAGCTAAAATAGTAAGGTTTTGTTAGTGTTTTTTTTGTTAGGGTTTATGTGTGTGTGTGTGTGTGTATATATGTATATGTATATATATTTTCCATCATTTGCAATGGAGCCAAAGATTCATTATTTTTTGGCTTGAGATTATGATGGAATAAAGCAAAATGGCTCACTAAACTGTCTGCGCTTCTTTGTTATGGAGCAACAGTCAGTCCATGCAATCTTGGACGCGATTTTCACTATGGGTCATCCGGAAACAGTCTCTCTGTGCTTTAGTACAGGGGTAAGACTGCGTACATCCGACCCCCCCTTACCCCACCGTAGGTGGGAGCCTTTGCGGCACTGGGGTAAATGAAAATGAAATGAAATGTATATGTATATATATAAAACTATATATTTATATATATAGCTATATATTTATAACTATATATATAATTCTATATTGTATATAACTTAGTATTGAAACTCACAATTAATGAAAAAAATTGCAAAAGAAACTCACAATTAATAATTGAAAACAAGGTTTATTAATGAGAATTAAAATTAAAAAACTAATCAAAACAAAATGTGAAGTATATCATAGAAGGTTATTTTAAAATAGAAGTATCACAGTTAAAATGCACACACAAAAACAAGGTTACAACAACAAAATTATAAATACACAACTTAATTAATTACAATTTAAAATAAAATAAAAACTGAAGCCAAAGATCAAGGACCTGGGAACTGGGAAGTCTGCAAGTTCCTCTGCTGCTCTGATTCCGCGAGGGACTGAGGGAGGGCGACTATGTGAGTTCGTCTTAGTTGTTTGCTTCCTACGTGCAACTTTGGGCAACGAATGGTCCGTAAGGTTGATTAGTTTGGGCTTAGCTTTTAATTTAAAGCCTGAAACCTTAATTAAATTAGCCCTAATCAAGGCCTAAATCTATTTTATCTGGTTCTGGGCCTGCCACTGCGGTTCGACTTGTGAATAAGTCGAGGATTTCTTCGCCAACATCGAGCCTAGACGACTACTGGACGACGCAAACGCCATGGCGATGGCGCCCAAATGGCGAAGGCGCAGGAATGGCGACGCCATGTGTATACACCTCGCCACAGCCCCTTTTCATAGCGCAGAGGGTTTTTCGCGCCACATGGCGCATGGCGCGTGCGCCATATTGCGCTATCGACTACCATGTGTGTAACTATTATACCCAAATTGTAAATTCTCAATTTTTAAGTTGTTACTTCTGTGAATATTATTTGAAATTAGTAAATACTATCCTCCGTTTCTTTTTAGTTGCAACGAGGAAAAGTTTACACTATTCACATACTCTACTTTAACTACATATTATTTATTAATGTATGATTTTTTTATGAAAGATATTGTTGAATTTGTCTCATTACAATTTTTTATAATCTGATTTTGATTTTTTTTACTAATAGAGAATTATGTTGACAGTCAAAGTTGTGCATTGGCAAGTGTGAAAATGGGAATGTTATATCTAAAAAAGATCAGAAGAAGTAAAAATTAAATTTTTCTTATTTTTGGAACTCTTTTATTTTGAATAATTTAATTACATTTTAAGCAACTCATGTTTTTATCTGGCTTGAGAATTAAGAAATTGGAAATTGTATGTTCAAAAATGTGTACAGGAGAGAGAAATAAATGAAGCACACATTCATTGCCATTAAAGAAAAAAGAGTGTGTATTGGCCTATTGGGACATATGGAAATGGAAAGAATAATTTTTTAGGACAAGAGGAGTACTGCTTATTCTATTTTTTAAAATTAACTTAATCATTAAATATAGAAAATAAAAATCAGAAAACCGAATCTGAACTGCCTGTTCTTGAACCGTACTGTGGCAATTTTGAACCGCCGGTTTGATTCCGGTTCCCAACCAAGGACAGGTCTACCTCTGCCTAAAATGAGTCATGCTTGTCTAGTGCACAATTTTTTTTTTTAAATTTTTGTGGAGGCATACATGTCAAGTATTCAATTACTACCTCCATCATGGTGGAATTTGCCAAGTTAAAAGTTGGTGAGAAATAAGAAAAGTTGGTGAGAAATAAGAAAAGTAAAAACTATATGGTAGAGTTTTGTGCAGAGGAGAGAGAAATGAGCACAACAACAAATTAGTTGCTTTAATATGAAGTTGGCAAAGTTGGCAAAGTTTGCACAACCACAACCACAATAAGTTTGCACAACCACAACCACAACCATGATAAGAAAAGTTTGCTTTAATTAAATGAGCACAACCACAAAAGTGACAAATTTTTTTTGGACAACCAAAAAGGGAAAGTTGGCAAAGTCCAATGGGATGGAGGAAGTATATTTTTAAAATTATTTGTTACTATGCCTAAATGTTTCATAGAAAATTTGTGGGTATGCGAATATGGCATAAAATTACCTCCATTAATCAACTTGGATTCCTTTTTGGGCAAAAAATTGTTTAAAGCAATCCTTTTTCTAGGGGGTGGAGGGAGTAAGTTATAATTTCTTTTATGGTTATAAAGATGTTCTTAGATTAGCTGTTCAACAATAAATTAGCTGTAGTCTTCTCTTAACTCCTGCTTCATTTCCAAAGGAGTCAAGTGTTTTCTACCCAGTGAAGAAAGAAACATTAAATTTGTCTTAGATTTTAGTTGTAATTGCATGATGAAATTCTTTCAAAGCTCTGTATAAAGGGCAGACCAGTGCATGAAGGCACCCCCACAAGGCGAGGGTCCGGGGAAGTGTCCCACCACAAGTGTGTATATGGGGCAAGCCTTATGTCAAATTTTTAAAAGAGGCTGTTCACAAGACTTGAACCCGTGACCTTTTGGTCACACAACAACACCTTAGTCCGTGCACCAAGGCTCCCCTTTAGAAGCTCTGTATAAGCATGTTAAATGCTTTAGTATTGTCCTTGAGCTGCAAGTTGGGATCACAAACATTAATATAGAAATAGTTACAGTGGAGATTCAATTGAATATATCTTGTTGCATTACATAAAGCCTTGTTGTTTGGTGTTTTGTTTCAGTCAGGTAGAAAAGAAACGGTTTTAGATTTGGCTAAGTTTGTTGACAAGGGCGTGCAAGTTAAGCTTACTGGTGGCAGACAAGGTCTGTTGTCACTTCAACAAAGTTATATTGTGTGTCTTACAATTTCAAGGTGTGTTTGAGAATTATTGCTCTGATATTTTGTTTTGCTTATATTCACAGTCGTTGGAACACTAAAAGGCTATGACCAATTGCTGAATCTTGTCTTGGATGAAGCCATCGAGTATCTTAGAGGTAGGTAACACACTTTTAACTAGAAAAGGGCTGGCTACAACTTGTAAAAAATACTCCATTCTGTCTTTTTGATCCATAATATATCTGGGTATTATTTTTTATTATTGTTTTCGTGACGAGTAATTGAATTGATTTTACATTGCTAGTTATGTTTCATGTTTTTGCAAAAGCGAGGGCATTTCACCTTGTTAGAAAAGTGGTGATGTCTTTTACTAAATTAATGTAAAAGTGGGGAATTCCTTTTCTAAATAGAATCATGAGATTCACGTGGGAGCATATTTTTGGTGATGGAAAAGAACTTGTTTAGTATAGAACTATAGAAGTGGAATATTGGTGATGTAAAATGGCAAAATGTATATATGGATCTGGCTAGATCATATACAAGAGCACTCACATCAAGCAGGATTAGGAAGGAGTATTGAGAATGGGCTTGATCCTAGTTCTATTTTCCAACTTCCAAGGACTATTTACCGTACTAGATTCCACACATCATGTAATTGTGGACTATATTTCTCCATCACATTTCGCATAACATTTCTTCATCGACTTTAATTCAGAGCACAGCCTTGACCCGTGACTATACGTTTTTGACTTCTGAGAAGCCAAATCCCATATACGGAGTACATTTTTACCTTCTTCATGACTAGATTGCCTGATCTATCTCCAGTAGATATTCTGTGTTTGAAAATGAAAAAGGAATATAGTTACAAACAAGTAAAATATGAAAAAATTTGTTAAAGAAACAAATACTGAGTTTGTTTAAAAATTAAAATATATGTGTGCGATTCCATTATATTTAGGTATCATACCTTGACAAATTTAAAAAGTTGTAGCTTGACAAAAGATGACATGCTTTTTTGGACGGAGGAGGTAATTGTTTATTTGGAGTTCAAGGTATCCGTGTAACCGAGTAAAAGCAACATTTGTTTCAGATTCTGATGATCCTCTCAAGACAACAGATCTAACACGGCGCCTTGGATTAATTGTATGTTTGTCATCTCTATCTTTCTATTTAATTTTGTTCGTTTGTTAGAAGAGAATAGTGCTTGTTCTCATTGTTGCATCACCAGTTTAATATGTTAGCATATGATCTGTATGAGAGGTTACTCTGCTAACTTGCAGAACTGTGCTTTCACATAACCCTCTCATCATAATATGGTAGGTCTGTAGAGGGACTGCAGTGATGCTTGTGGCGCCAACAGATGGAACTGATGAGATCGCCAATCCTTTTCTCCAGCCCGATGGTTCTTAGATCCGCCACTCATCATCAACGATCTATCTATTATTTACCTCTTTTTGTGTAAAACAGCTTATGCTTTGTTTGCTTCCCTGTATCTAAGGGTTCAAGATAGGACAGGAGGATCTGCCATGGGAGAAGCTTTATATATACAAAGTGTTGTCTTTAGACTGTTTTTATGTTTATGAATGGGTGAATTTGACTTTTTGCACCCCACTTTTTGCATCCCACTTTTTGATTGATATTGGATTTTGCACCACATCATCAAAAAACTTTGTTTATCAATGGGGAAATTGTTTTTGTTTCCTGAAAGACGCATACCCTACCAGGGCCAGCATAGCCATCACAATTCACAAGCCCCATAAACCTTGAGAATGCCATGCTAACTATTACCTGGACCAGTGTATATTAGTGGTGGGCCCCGAGCTTGAATTTTTGGGCTCGGCCCGGTACTGTTCAGGCCTGACACAGGCCCGGTACTGGTACAAATTGGGCCGGTATTAGCCTATTGGACCTGAATTATTTAGAGCTGAAGCTTGCCTGGCCTGACTTGAGGCCCGACCCGGCTTAGCCCAGTCCACCCCTAATCCTAACAGATGCATAACCTTCTCCAAACTAAATCCGGAGAGGCGGCATATCACAAAATATGATCAGCAATTTTTTTGTAGAAAGATCTTATGTGAGCTGTTGTTATCTTGTATTTATATTAGTATATTTTGACATTACTAGTTATTAATATGACTATTTTCTAAATAAACCTAAATCTTCTCAATTTCTCATAGACTTGCGGAGAGTGAAATATGTGCGGAAGGGTTCCTAGGTTTTCCTAGGGTTTAGTTGTTCCGATGGTGACTTTGACATTTAGTCCGGTAGTTTTATAACTTTATTCTGTGCAATAAGGCATAGCACTATATTAAGGTAGAGAAGGTTTTATTCCCAGGTTTCACAAGAATGCCAGTGAGAGGAGTCATGGGTGTAATTTGCATTGCCAGGCTGGGACTCTAGTAGGGGGTGGTAGTATTGTTTCACGTAGATTAGTCGGAGACTTTGTGATGAGTAATTGAGTAGTAGGTGGCTGATGATGGGCGATGAGGTTGGCGATGGTTTGAATCTTCTATCCATGGAGGAAGGTGAACCAAGCGATAAATGAGGTGGTATTTAGTGTTCAAATGATGGTAATGATGGCCCGACCTCCTCCTTAACTATCGCTATGGAGTGAACTTGTGTTTAAGACGGTCTGGAAAAAGAAGATACATTTTTGCTTTATTTTTATTTCAAGTTATATGATTATATCTGGTTCTTGGATTGCTTGTGTTCGTGCCTTCGTGGTAGTCTAAACTCTAACATAGCTATGATCAAAGGTAAGAAATTCCCATATGTTTAACGAAACGTTTCACTCAATTTTGGGTAAACGTTTTTATGCCTGATCAGAGACGAAGAGAATCATTTGATTCTTTTGAGTCTAGTGAAATGGTGAAGAGTACAGTGACATTAAAGGTCTATAAGAACTCGATGTTGCTCGTTTGGTGGTGAACGATTGGTGCTGCTTTTTCAGAAGTGGCCATCGTAGGGCGTCTTTTGAGTCTAGAACTCTAGATGCAGTTTGTTGAAAGATAGGTGATTGATTTGGAACTATTGATTGATTGTAACTCTTGATTCATTCGATATTTTATTGTAAGTATGATTTATTTTCAAAAAAAATGAAAACAATAAATCCTTTTTAGATTTTTTTTTAATATCAACAATCTTGTTTAAGGAAATTCTCTAAAATGTAAATCCTCTAATACTCCATCTAACCTTGGTAATAGTACATTTGAGAAACGAAATTTTTATTTTCATTTGTGTTTGAATGAAATTTATTAAAGAAATTATATGATCAGAAGATGCGGTGATTCCTACCATATGACTAGATAAATTTTTATCACTAAATTATTAATGTTTTATATGTATGATATGTGTTCTGATCATACTTTCTCTCTCTTGAATTTAATTAGTGCTCATATAGAGTCATATTTAAATTTACTAGACATATATTAAGAATCTATGAATATTTGAGTCACATTTAGATAAGTTTCCTAATTTATCAGTATTTCATAGTTTTATACAAATATGACTGAATTAAATTCCTTGTCATGTTGGAGATTTTGTGCGGAGTATTTATTAACTTGCTACTCACTTGAACTCGATAAATTTCCTAAATTATTATTATTTCATTGTTTACACAAATATGACTTTGAATTAAATCCCTTAGCTTGTCAAATTGGAGATTTTTTATAATTATTTGAATCTATAAGGTAGGACTCAATATTTCAGTTGAAGATATCTTGAAATCCTTTAGAAGTAAAAATTAGGGAAAAATCAGGTCAAATTAGTACGTTTTCAAATGTAAGGTTGTGAAAATATCATATTTTAAATCACTAGAAAATATTACTTCAACACATCAATATTATTTTAAAAAGAGACTCTTTGTTCTTTACTATTTTGCAGATCTGTATTTAAACGTTTTTCTAGATTAACAAATATTTAATAAGATTAATTTCAGTTTCAGACATGTATGTGAAAATCTGAACTGAACTAATTTTTTAAATTTGATCTAATATGTTCTGGGTATAATAATAACATTCTTAGAGTCTAGAATTAGAGAAAGAAGAAACGGAGTAATACGTCGTCCCGGCTTAAACTTCTCACTGAAATACAATAAAATTATTTAGACTATAATTAAATAAGACGACTCAAATCTGACGTTATCAATGATAACTGTCTTGTTATAAGTGTATTATTTTTAATATTTCATAATTAATTCGTCATTCAAGAACATTACTCGTAATGATAGATAGAAACTAAATGATCACTACAAAAAAACTTGGAGAAATGGAATGATCACTACAAAAAAACTTGGGATTGACATGAATTTTGACAGGGATTTGGCGGAGATTTTAGCAGGATATGCCAAATCCATGCCAAAAACACTTTGGCACGAGAAATCGGTAAATTCGTGCCAAATTTCTGTAATTTTTTGGTAGTGGATAATCATGAAGCCATTTACGTGATGTTCAATTTTTTTATATATGGAAAATGATTTGAAAGCGTTGACCATACATTAATTGTTGCAACTTTCAATTGTCCAATCTTCAAGAAAGATGGGGTTTTGCTCTAATGCTGTCTAACCATAACCATATTTAATAAATAGAGTGCGACGTTTTCGCCGATCCAAGCCCACATATATTGACAAATATGATTTGTCTTTGTTGTTTTCCCGCTCATTTCTCGGACAGCCCGGCCCATGGACTACGTACGTTACGCATGCAGTACTGCCCGCCGACACCAAAAACGTGTCAAACGTAACACGGAGTAATATACGGAGTAATAATTTTTTTAAGTAAACAATCGCTTGCTGCTCATATCATCTTGTTTCGGATTCAGATAGATGCCATTATTAATTTATTTATTATTACTATTGTTTAGTCTATCCTAGCTCAGTAGCTATGATCCTAATAATATAATATTGTTCTTTGTCTTCCGGGAAATAGATATGTTGTTCATAATTTCATATATATGATTATATTTTTAATTCATTTCTTAATAATATTCTCCTAATGAATTGAACTTGTTAAGTCCAAGTAGATAAATAAATAATATAAGAATGACAGAGTGAAAGTTTTTTTTATATTAACAGTTAAAAGGATCACATATTAACAGTAATATTCCTGTATTACTACGTTTATATTTGCTCGGAATTAAAGTTGTTTTCTTTTAGACTGAAATTTGTTGGTCAACTCTGGTCTGGTCTGATCTGATAAATGTCTGATCTCTATCTATTATTGATAGAGTATATCTAGAGAGAAGTGAGAGCTAGAGAGAGAAGTGCAATAATATGCTTCAATAGAATGAATTTGTCACACCTATAACTACTCCCAAGGGGAGTATTTATAGAGAAAATACGGGCTGGGCTCCCAAACCTTGGGCTTGGGAGGCCCATTTACAACTGGACCGCTACTGGGCCGAATACAAAGTCACTAATGGGCTGTACAAATGAGTAAGTGTAGAATCCGGTTCTGTGAGGTCTTCGTGGCCGACGAGGGCGTGGCCGACGAGGGCACGACCGACGAGGGCGCGGCCGACGAGGGCACCCGGGTTCCTTGGGCTCAGGACCATAATCTGAGTTGGCACCTTTTCGGCCGACGGGGGTCCCTTGGCCGACGAGGGCGCCACTCAGTGTCTTGTGCTTTCTGTTCTTCTGAGTATGTGGGTCCGGGGGCTCAGACCCATATACTCCATCAATTATATAACTACAGAAGTCTGGTCTAATCTGATTTGGTCTGATCTAGTCTGAGACTGAAAATAGTCCACAAGAAAACATCCTAAGTATAGCAAACTGAGATAAAGGAAAATTATACCGAGTATTTGAATCTATTTTTAAAGCTGTTTCTACTTCTTTAACGAAGTAGAAGTAGACATTAGAATGTTTGAGTGAAAGTGAAGAAATAATTCTGACCATCCGGATGTTCCAAATTACCTCCAAGGAGTAGTCTTTTTAAAAATTAAGGGAGACGAACTTCTGAACGACTTATTCTATTTCTTCTTTTGCTTTTAAAAAGAAGCAATAGCACAATTAATTTCAAACACCATCTAACAACGTCTCACTCAACTTTGCGAATGATCGGGAATTCTCAATGATGAGATGTCATCCTTTTTACGTCGAGATGTTAGTATACCGTATAAACCACCAGCTTGGTATGTGTGATCAAATGTGAAAGAGATGAGAATAGGTATTCTTGTTTCAACATATTTGGCTAAACTTTGAAATGGTCATACCCTTGAATTTGCGGCAGTCCTGCAAACATTTACTCCCCAGCTGATTAAAACAGTTGATTTTCTTGTCCACTCCACGTTTTTGGAGTGTTAGGTTAGACTTACTTACATTAGTGATCTGTGATCAGATGTTCAAAAACTCAATCCCATGCAATTATGGAACACTGTTACTCTTCCTAGCTACATCCTTAATTAATTAAATACACTCATATATGTTAAGTTCTGATCAAAATTAATTAAAGAACATCTTCAGATTACAAAATTATAATATTACAAGTATAAGTATATTACTACGTATCATTTAAAATTTAATACCTTTGAAATTTAAGGCAGTCAAATATGACATAATTTTGGTGACGGAGAGTTCAATGAAATTAATCAAAATATATAAGGGTCAAACATGATACGTAATACTATACGGAGTATGTTTTATTCATTTCTACAATATACCTCATTTAATTCAAATACAATAAATTAAAGTTAAAACATCGATCTTCATA